GTCCTCCTGGGATTCCCAGCTCCCACGTGGTGGCCCGGCAGCCCAGGGTGCAGGGTGAGGACATCGTGCAGCTCTGATGCAGCCCCGCGCTCAGATGCAGTCCCTTGGTGACCTGGAACCACAGCCGACCCAGCAAGAACGTTCCCGGTCTTCCCACAGTCCTCCACGTGGGAACGGGTGCCCAGAGGCCCCTGCCCACACTGGCACCCAGTTCCCCCAGCACCCCAAAGCCACCGGCTGCTGATGGCCTGCGCCTGCTGCACCCCCAAGGGCAGCGTCCTGCTTGCCGGTGGCTGCAGACCAGCTCCAGTCCAGGCAAACCAGCAAACATCTCTGTCACCCTGTGGGCTGGACCACATCTTCCCCAAAGGAGTGTGAACTCCACCCTTAGGAGAGGGGTCATCTAGTCAGTTCTTTCTCAGACATTTCCCTCAGTCCTCAGGTACCACAGTTTCCTTATATCTTTTTGTTAAATTTCTTTTGCAGGGGAGGTAATTAGATTTATTTATTTATTATAATGAACGGGCTGAGGATTACTGAGAATTGAACTGAGGACCTTGTGTATGCTAAGCACGTGCTCTACCACTGAGCTGTACCCTCCCCCGTCATATCTTATGGTTATTCTTTTATCATAGGTGACACTTCTTTATGTTAAACTTTCTATGTTAAACCCACTGTGTAGTTTCTGTCTCCTGCTTGGACCCAGACTGATACACTGCCCAAGAGGGATTTCAGCATTATCCACCGCTTAAATTGGTACAAAAAGAATGAACTCATATATTACCTTGTATTAAAAAATAACAAACCTTGAAATGATTTCAGTGGTTATCTCAGTAGGGGGACAGTGGGGTGCTTTCTCTACTTTACTATCTGTAATTAATTAGTGCTGTTTTTTAACCCAAAAAGCTTCTTATTAAAAGAAAAATGGGGGGGAATATAGCTCAGTGGTAGAGTGGATGCTTAGCATGTACAAGGTCCTGGGTTCAATCCCCAGAACCTCTATTAAAAATTAAATAAATAAACCTAATTGCCCCCAACAAAAAGAATTTTTTTTAAGAATTCTAATTAAAACAAAATTTTTTTAACGGAAAGAAAACCAGACTTTCAGAAGTTGGCAGGGTACTGTGTGTGCAACCCATTAGTGTGAACTGAGCAGCACTGGACCAAGGCCAGGCCAACAGACAGGGGTGACCACCACACAAGGGCTCTCATTGAAGGCTGCCGTTTCCCTGGCATCAGCTTGCCTGGAGAAGGCCTCTCTAAAGGAGCGATTCCAAATCACAGCCTACCAGGGCACCTGGGACACGCCCCCAAATGCTAACAATCCTTGAAGCCCCTCCCTGCCCCTTTGCAATCAGCATTTTGGGGGAAGAGGGTGTCATAAAATCAAGGAAAGGGCACTGCAGCTCCCCAAACCTCTAGGACCCAAACTCCCACCTCAAACCACACTTCTGGACTTCAGACCCAAGGCCCTGTGGGAAGAGAGAAAGCCCCACAGACCACGGTAGGAAAGGCATGGCCAGAGCAGGGGCATGGCCTACGTGTCAGCCCATCCCCGAGTCTGTGCCCAGTGTGTGCCCAGCTCTGCCAGGCATGACCACAGCACCCCTTTTTTGATATCATCAGATCCTGACACCAAAAGCAGGCGGGAGAGTGGGTTTTGGACCACCCGGACCCAGCAGCATCCTACAGGCCAGCAAGTGCTCAGGGAGACCCTGGCTGGCCCAGCAGGCCCCACTGATCAAACCCTGAGAAAGGAGCCTGACTTTCCAGACATCTTCCCAGACATCTTCCTGCCCTGGTCAGCTCACATCCGGAAGAGAGCCGGACCACTGCCAAGTCAAGCCCGTGACAGCCGCCAAGAGCTGCCCCCGGGCCCAGCAAACCTCCTGCCCCATGACGAGACCCCTTAACTAGAAAAGTGCATCTTCATTTCCTGTCATTTGAGGACCATCATCACAGTTCCTGCAAAATCAGCACCTGACGGCATGTATTTACTATTTTCAAGTCACCTGGAAGCAGACCCTGTTTAGCCCCGTCCCAAGCAGGGTACGATGTGCAGTAACACAGGAAGTGTCAGCCTGCGTGGCCCTACACCATCTCCCATGCCCATGGGCGTCACAAGAGGATGCCACTGAGAAAGGGACGCCCCAAATGCTGACAGGCCAAGTATGCAGCACCCGGCGCTCCAGGCCTGGCAGGGCCCAGCTCCAGGTGACCTGGGAAGACCTCCGGAAAACATGTTCTTAACAAAACCACCTCTGACGGGGCCTGAGGCCACAGAGGCCGACCACAAGGCCTGGAGAGGTGGACCGCTGCCATGGGCTAGGATGCATCCCTCCCCAAAATTTACAGTCTGAGGTCCTCGCCCCCAGAACCTCAGATGTGACCGTACTAAGGAGCAGGGCCTTTTGAGAGGTGATTCAGGTGAAATGGGGTCACTAGGGTGGATCCTAATCCCATATGACTAATGTCCTTATGAGAACAGGAAATCAGGACACAGACACACACAGAGGGACGACCAAGTGAGGACACAGGGAGAAGGCGGCATCTCCATGCCAAGGAGAAAAGCCACAGGAGGACCCAGCCCTGCGGACACCTTCATCTCGGAGTCCAGCCTCCAGGACTGGGAGACAGTAAGTCCTGTTGTTTAAGCCCCAGAGTGTGGTGTTTGCTACAGCAGCCAAGTTGACTGACTCAACAGTGACACTGAGCTATCAGGAGTCCAATCACAGGGAGACATCTGACTCCACCTCTTCACTCTCATTCCCCCTGAGTCTGGCTTGGTCCTCTAAGGCCGAGTGGCTGGAGCGTGGCCCCCACAACCTGCCTGTGAATGGCTCAGCTGGCTCCCAGTACCTCCACCCACCCTCACTCCCAGAAACCAGCTACATACAATGCCAGTGGTCTAGGGTCTCATCGACACAGTGCTGAGCTAGAAGCTGAGGCCGGTCTGGTGACTTTAAAAATCAGTGTCAAGGACAAGACAAAGGCTTAAGAGCAACTCAGGAACCTCCCCAGCAAGGACACATGCGAAGAGGACAAGAGTCTGTCATGGAGACAGAGAAAACCGTTGGGAAAGTTCTTCTGGGTCAAGCTTGGCACAGGCCAGTTCCTGAGGTCTGTGCATCTCATGAGGTCAACAAAAATCTCCACACTTTCTAAGAGCAGCACCATCTCCATTCCTGTGTACCATCCTCAGGGCCAGAAATCCCAAGAAGGCAAGTCATGGCACCCATGACTACAGGTGACCCTGGTAATCAGTGCCAGTGGACACTGAGGATTTCCCCGCTAACCCCACGTGGCCCTGGTGCTAAGCAGGTGACTCTGGCCTGGCCCCAGTTACCTCTTTAATCACCCTTTTATCAAACTCATCAAAGAGTTTCTGAAACTCATCAGCTGACAGCAGGTCACCACCGTGGGAACGCACCTTCTGCAAAGCAGGAAAGCAGAGGTCAGCCGAGGGCAGGAGGGAGAGCCACCCGCAGCCCCACCTGGACTGGACCAGCTCAGCCAATCCAAAATGACAGCCACGTGACCTGCAGGAGGCGGCCAGAGGCACAGAGGGAGAGGGCAGGGGGACAGCAGGGGGACAGAGGGACCAGTACCTCCATGATGGCCTGTTTGTGGTCGCTGTCCAGCTGGACTTTCTGGAGCACGTGCAAGAAGTCCTGGGGCTTCACCCCGACTCTGTGGAGGGAAAATGCCCCCAGTGAGCAGGCCAGCTTAGTGCCCTGGGGCGCCCTGACCTCTGTCCTGAGTTGTGCCTTGAATCGACTGAGCAGCCCTGGGCAACAACAAAGGCCTCCACGAGGGAGGGACCAAGGGGTGCATCTGTCATCCAAGATCCCAAGACACCGTTCTCCTGCCTTACAGTGGAGCTGAAGCCAAGAGGGGGCACACGAGATCCAACAGAGGCCCCCAGCTCACAGCAGTGGGGACTGGAGCCTTCCACAGTGACACTGCCTCCAAACCAGGCAGCAGACTGGATGCACGTCCCAGGTCCCTCTGGCCCCGACAACCAGGTTACAGCACGGGGGAGTGGGAAGGGTGCCTATCACAAGGGGAGGCCAGAGTACGCGGCCCCTCGCCTGCCCAGGAGCTCCAGCGGGTCATGAGGACGAACGTTTTAACTCGGACGCGAGGACCATGGATACCGCCAAGTACCGGGGTGCAGCGGTTCTGTGATTCCAAAGGAGCGTGAGGACAGACACCAGCCGGCAGGGAGCTCGGCACAGAGGCGGTGCTCAGGAAACACTCCCCATGAACCCCCGCCCAGGGAGGCAGCAGCCCCGCTGCCTCAGGGCGGGTGTCCGGCCCGGCACTCACCCCTCGGGGTGGGCCTCTCCCGCTGCTGTCACGGAGGAGAGGACCTTGTAGGCCGCCCGAGTCCCCAGCCGCCTCCGCAGCAGCGAGGTCTGGAGAGATTTCTGAAAAGAGGTGGCTCTGAGTGGCTCGGCGGAGCCCTTCCCAGGCCGCCCATCCCCCCACCGCATCCCTGCGCAGCCCCTGAGGCTGCCCTGCCCACCCGAAGCCTAGGGAGCAGCCCCGCGCCCCGCAGACAGCGGAGGAGCACAGACTCCGCGCGCCGGCCCTGCGACGGCCACTCGCTGTGTAATTCGCTAAGGTGTGTGCTGCTTCTTGGCATATCTGGGGTCCTCAACTCTCCTACAGTGGGTTTGGGGCCACTGAACTGGGAGCTTCCAGCTTCCCTCTAGAGGAGGTGGGGCGGGGAGTGGACCTCTTGGGGGCTGTGAGGACAGCACTGCCTGGGGAGGGGGCGGGAGTGGGATGAGCCCAGTTCCTGCTCACCCGTAAGAGGGAGCCGGGCCCATGCGGAGACCACCGTGGAGCCCACCGTCCCACCCGCACCTCCACAGCCCCGGGGCCACCTGGCTGGTCAACTCCAGTCACCCCCAACCGGGTCTCCAGGGGCAGCTCCACACAGACGGGCAGGGACAGCGGCTCAGCTCACCATCAGGTAGCCCCGGAACTGATTGTAGATGATGGCCGTCAGCAGGTTCATCAGAAACAAGCTCCCTTCAAGGGGAAAAAGCCACGACAGAGGGGACCCCCAGTCATGGCGAGCACACAGCCAGGGTCGAGTCTGGAAGGGGCGGCAGCATCGCGGGCCCAGAGCAGAGGGTCGACGCAGGCACAGCAAGAAGGACCCGGGTGAGCAGGGACGGGGCCCAGGGCACAGCACTCCAGGCCCCTGTCTACAATCGGGAGCACCGCCTGGCCAACCCAGCCGGGGGCAGTGAGGACACAGGCCGATGGCGGTCACGGAATGAAAACCACGGCGGGGAGCACATGAGGCGAAGTCGCGGGGTTGGGAGAGCACACCCAGCCCTGAGTTCGGGGGATCCAGTCACATGTGGCAGAATCTCGGCCCCAGTGACCCCTACAGACGCACCCAGGCTCACCTATCAGGGTGAAGGCTATGAAGAAGATGGCGTAGGCCCGGTTCTTGGAATACGCCGGAATCATCACTGCAAGAAAGAAGTCAGAGAAAATTAAACGTGTTCACGCCCCATGTCCAGCCCTACACCACTGTCTCCTCAACAGAAAGGAGGGCCTGCGTTAGGAGAGCAAAAAGGCCTGCTTGTCCAAACCTGGATCCTCACGACTCTGCTTGCACAGCCCGGGGAACAGGAAACTCACTACCTTTCAAGGGTCCTCATCCTTTATGCTTCCCTGTCACCAGTCACCACACGCTGAACGTTCAGCTCTCCCTTGGGTGACTCAAGAGGACCCACGGGACATGTGGGGACAGCGTTCAGGGTCCCGCCCAGCTCTCCCTGGGTAAGGAAGTCAGTGGCTGTCCTCCCAGGAAGGTCTCTATGGTCAGTGACCAACCCCAACCCAAGATGTGCCCTAGAGGACTGTGGTCACTCACTCCCGGCCACACTCCCAGCCTGAGCAGACAGAGGCCCCACCAGCAACTCCAACATGGTGTCACGGCCACTGAAGATCCCAGGGCCTCTCACATGTGTTGCGGCCAAACCACCCCCTATGGCTGGGCCCAAGCAGCAGCGGGAAGGTGGCTAGACCTCAAAGAGGAGGCCGCCAGGGGGCCCCACTAGGCACAGCACCGGCCACCACCACGCAAAGAACACTGTCCATCTCTAGCTTCTCAGGAGTCAGGAGACGGGTAGAGAAGGGAGGGGACAAGAAGGAAAAGTGGGTGTAAAGGGATGAAAACAGAAAAAAGTAGGAGAAGGAAGGGAAACAAAAAAAAGGGAAAAAGAAAAACAAGAAAGAAAGGAAGGTAAGGAGGGAGGGAGGGACTCCAAGGCCACACTTGTATTTCCCAGCTCTTCATAAAAAGGCTTCAGGGCCTCTGGGCCCGAAGGCTCGGCATTACCCGACCCCCAGGCCGGCTCGCCAGCCCCCCGGCCCCCCTGCCCTCGCACCGTCAGGGTTGTTGGCTGTGGTCAGCAGCACCAGCAGGGATGTCAGAGCCTCTGGCAGGTTGCGGAAGTAGGTCAGCCTCTCCTTGTCCTGCCCAGCGTCCTGCTGGGGTGGACCACAGCAGCTCTGAGGTGCCACCCATGCCTTCGCCCCACTGGCTAAGGCCTTGGGGCGCCAAAGCTCCAAATGCCAGACCCAACAAGCCAGGGCCACCCGCGTGTGCTCAGCAGCCCAGGACCCACATCTCCCCATCGTCTCCCAGCAGGCTGTGAGCTCAGGCTGGACAGGACCTAACTCAGGAGCTCTGGACCCAAGAGGAAATGTCCAGGGACACCACACACCCATATGGACACCGGCCACTGGAGCCAGCCTGCTCAGAATCCTGGTGAAAAGCTCTTGGCCAGCCTGGCAGAGAGCATCGCAGCCTAGAGACCCAGAGAGCCCGCGTGGGAGCCAGCCAGCCTGCTCATAGCCAGACCTTCCGTGCACTACACCGCGTGCACAGCCCAAGGTCTGGGGCGGGAGGGGCAGGGGGCGGCCGAGCAGGCTGCCCAGGTGGGGAGAGGAGAGCTGGAATTCGGGTCGTGACCCTCCTGGGAGAGTCCTCTCTCTGCGACCCGGGCCTCACCTGCCCTGGAGTCTGGGCAGGGGCCGAGCGAGCACGGTACCTTCTCGCTGGTGAACAGCAGCATCCCGAACATGGTAAAGAGGCACAGGTGGATGGCCAGCAGCAGCCCGACGCTAGGGGAATGAACGCAGAGCTCAGTGCCAGGCAGACGCCCCATGCGCCAAAAGGGACGGGAGTCTGGGTACAGCTGACCCAGCCATCCAGGGAGATCCCTAAAGCCGGGCCCTGGGGCTGGTCCCTCCTCGGCCCGGGAACCTGCCGCGCTCGCAATGGGGCCCTGCTCAGTGGAGATTCTTTCTTTGGCAGGAAAAACGCAACCCCAGGGGCATGTCCCAGGGGCCTGGGAGAGGCAGCGTCAAGGACCCCAGGGATTCTCAGAGAGGAAAAGCCAAGTCCATCAACTGGGACCAGACAGTGAGAGGTCACCCACGTGAGTCAGGGCAGGTGGGGCAGGAAGAGCTGCTTCACAGTCTCAGCTAACAGCATCCAAACACGGTCCTGGGGGTGCGGGGGGCCAGGGAGGGAGGGGAGCGGTCGCAGCCAAGGCAGGACGTATCCACAGCCATGGAGCAGGGGTCGGGGGTCATAGCAAGGCCGTTAACAGGGCTGCCCTGAGTGCACAAGAGACCCCCAAACGCCCACCGACCTGCCAGCCTCCCCAGGCTCACAGCCACGCTCCAGGCCAGGGGACGAGTGGGGCAGGTGAGGCACCCAGTGGCCTCACAGACCACCTGCTGGGCTGTGGCCCACGGCCGCCGCCCAGCAGGGAGCAAGAACCCCCGGCCCCCCCTGCCAACCCCGAACAAGGAGCCCACCTGGCCATCTCCGGCAGCGACCGCCTGATGCACTTGAGCGTCTTCTTCATCATGGAGGAGTTCTGCATGAGGAAGAAGGGGCGCAGGGGCCGGCGCACCCGCAGGGGCTGGAAGAGGCCACGAGCCGGGGCCCTGAGCGCCAGCCAGCATGGCCGGGCCAGCAGCACGCAGCCCCGGAGACCCTGGCCCCTGCTGGCCCGCTGCGCCGGGCCTCTGCCGCGAGGGCTCTCGGCACCCTCCCCACATCCCTCCTGGGCCAGCACCTCGGGAAGCAGGACCAGCGCGCCTCTCCGGCCCCCACCTCCTGCTCTCCCCATGGCCGGGCGCCCCTGAACTTCTCCATTAAGCCGCTGTCCTGCCCTCTGGGGGCTGCTCCACGCCCCTCTCCACAGCCCCCACCCTCTCCCCACGGCTCTGGGCCTCCCAGCCCTGCACAGAGGGACAGAAACCACAGCAGGAACTCCGCACCTCCACGCTTACACTCACACACATGAACACACACACCTTCCTCTCCCCCGTCACAACCGGAGGGCCCCCCTCAGTGTCCTCAGGACCCCGCCTCTGCTCAGCTGGCTGCTGGCACCCGTCCCAGCCGTCTCACCATAACCACCGCCTCCAGCACCACCCTGGGCTCCTTTCCTTCTGGGCACCCGCCTCACTTTGGACCCTACTATGTATCTGGTGCTTCCTGGTACCGTCAGCCTCTTTCACAACAGAACAAGGTCCTGCCAGCACCAGCACACCACAGGCCCTCAGAACGTCTGCGGAGTGAGTGTCCTCAGGACTCACTCAGTCCTGGGCTGCCCTCGTCCTCACAGGGGCCCGACTCCCGACAGGACTGAGAAGGCAGAAGAAACAGCGGTGACCGGGCAAGGCTCGGGGATCCACCCCTGTGCCCAGGCCAAGGGGCCAGTGCCCCCGCTCGCTGCCCTGGACAGAAGCTCCAGTCTCAGGGCCCACATCAGGAGTCTTTCAGCCACCTCCAGGCCGAGCAGGAGCTGGAGGTCTGGCCGCACCCCTTCCATGGGTCTTGGACCCTCACCTGCGGCCAGACGTGACCAGAGAGCGGCTTCTCCCAGACACAATAACCCAACCCAGCACGGGCTTTCCCACGGCTGCGGCCACGTCCGTGCCATGGACGCAGGGACACGCGTGAAGGGAGGGAAAGCACCTCCACGTAACCTGCCAGCAAGGGGAGCCGGCCCAGCGCCAGCCAGGCCCCGGTGAGGCTCAGATCGCACTGAGGGTCACAGCCCAGGCCCCAGAGGTTTTGGGGAGAAGCCATCAGCTAATCTGCAGCAAACTAATCTCCTATGAGAAACAGCCAGCGGCCACGGCCACGGCCCACGGCCCACCTGCGCCTGGCGGCCCACGTGTGACCCGGCCCTCCCAGTCACAAGGTGGGGGGGGGTGGGGAGCAGGACTCCATCAGGCACAGAAGGACATGAAAGACCGGGCGTGAGGCGGTCAGAAGGCCCTGGCCCCCCCTGCAGGCCCCAGTGCTGTGGAAGCTCTTTATGACTGGCCAGCCGGCCACAGAGGACCACCTCAGGCTTGGTCTGCAGACGGCTCTGGGTGAAGGACCCGTCCCGGACAGAAGTGGACTGTGGGCAGAGCTTCAGCCTCAATCAAGAACGTTCCCAGAAGACAGCACCAAAGGGGAAGCTTTACAGTGGACTGGGTCCACCCTGCATGGACCAGAAAGGTATCGATTCCCGGGGAGGGGTCAGGGGCGTGGACAGAACAGCCTGGACAACCAGGGACAAGGAGGTCTGGGTAGGACGCGTGTGGACAGGCAGAGTTGAGCACCCACCACGAGGCATCAGGAACAAGGCTCTGGACAGATGGATGTCTCCCAGCCTCTCCCCTCAGCCACCCCACTCCAGTCTCCACGGGCCACACATAAAGTGGCCACAGAGGCCGGGATGAAGGGGCCACCAACGTGGACACCCACCAAGGCCACTAGAGGGTCTGCCCTGCCAGAAGCAGAGCTCAGCGCCGGCGCCGGTGTGGCCCCCGGGAGTAGGCCCCTCCCCAGGCAAGGCACTAGCCTGTCCTCAGTGGACAGGCAGGCGGGCGGGTCAGGGCTCTGCCCGCCCTGCCCTCAGTGCCTCTCCAGGAACACCACCCAAGCCTTGGGACCAACGCCACTTCAGACCAAGGCACAGCCCAGAGAACCCACTAGCCCCATCCTGAGCAGCTGGCCCAGGGAGGGCCTGATGGGCCTGGGGGGCAGCCCTTTGCGGGGCGAGGAAACCAGCATGGGCTCTTAGCACTGGGACAGAACAGGCGCGGCGACACCCCCACTCCCCCCACCCCACAGCTCCGGGCCCTGCTGCTCCGGAAACACCCACTCCCGAGGGGGATGCTCCCCCGGGGACACACGCTGGGCCCACTGGGCCGAACCACAACTGCTCGGGAAAAGAGGGCTGGGGGGCAGCAGGGGCAAAGAGCTCCAACTGCCAGGGACAGTAGGGGAGCTGCTGCTCCAGAAGCAGTGGGGCAGGGAGGTGTGTGTCCAACACAAAAAATGACCACAAAACTCCAGGAATAAAACGTCAGGGCCACCGAGAACTCAGGCCCCTCAAGGAGGAAGGTCTGGGTTCCCGCACTAAGCAAACGGCACACGGGCCAGACGGAGATAATAAATACCAGTTAGGGTCCTCAACCACTAACAAAACGAGGCCTGAAGGGCCCGAGGTCTGCTCCTGGCCAGTTACACAGACACGTGTTTGCATGTGTCACTGACCCTCATCCCCTCCCCCTTTACCCTCCTAATTTCACGCAAGGATGGTTGGTGGTGAGGTTCACAGTTCAGCCTTGAAGGACAGAATGTTCAGGTGACATGAGATGGACGCAATGACCGTCACTCAGAAATGGAGCCAGTGGCGGTTAGGCCTGTCTCTGTCCCTTTCTGGGGAGGGGGTGAGAGCCTCCTCCTTGGGGAAGGAGGGCAGCACTTCTCAGGGAGAAGCCTGCCGCTGTCAGCGCTCCTGCAGAGACGTGGGGGAGGCGTGTGGGCTGAAGGGGGCACCATGCCCTCCATCCGCCCTGCAGCCCTGCTCTGATGCTGGGCTGGGACCCGCCACTGACATCTCTCCACTGACATCTCCTTCATCAGCTGCCTCGAGCAGCAGGGGCCCTGGGGGAGGGCAGGAGGCAGGAGGAGGGAAGGGACCCACTGGCTTCTGTCCACCTGCTGTTCCTGCCTCCCCTTCCTCCAGGACTCCCAGAACCAACGTCATCGTGCCTCTAGGAGGCACCAACCCCCTCCCCAGAGGTCAGAGGGCAGGGCCTCAGCTTTAGGAGCCCCTCTCCTGAGGCTCCAGGTTCCAGAACCCCATCTCCTTTAATCCTTTTAATCTAATCCCTTTAATCCCCCAGCTGGGGCTGGGGGTGGCAGTGCTGCAGTTTTGTGTTCACTGGGTCCCCTTTGCTTTCTTGTTATGCAACACCTGTTTGAGCCCCTGTATTAAATTCTTTCTACTAAAGCACTTGACGGGCTTCTGTGTCCCTGACCGGCCCTGATGGATACAGATGTTCCCAGACCGACTTTCCCCAGCTCTGTTCTATCAGATCACAGGGCAGTGCTTCTGCGTGTTCTTGGGGGAAACAAAGATGGTGCAGTCAGAGAGTCCGGGGCTGCCAGTTGACACGGGTTTTCTGACTGGCGGGCCTCACAGAGCTCTGGGCGTGTGGCAAGGAATTAGGAACTGAGGCAGGAATTAGAACCCCTGGAACTTGCTCCCAGGTCTTCGTGCCGTCCTGAGGCCTCAGTGTCTTCGTCTGCAAGACGGGAACAAGGCTCCCCAGCCAACAGGTGACTGATGTGCTTCGGAGGACAGGCGGAGCTGGGCAGGTGGGTGGGGTGGCTGCGGGGCCCCAGGACTGCTGCCCACCGTCCACCGGTGGAGCTGCACCCTATGCCCCACCCAGGGATCCCTCAGAGCCCCCTCACCACCTACCTCGTGACAAACGAGACTCAGCGACACGATCCAGTCCATGAGAGACACAACCAGCACCATGAGGTAGGCCAGCAGCCAGGGGTTCTTCCGGAACTGGGCCCACCCCACCAGGTAGCTCTGCAAGACAGACGGCGGGTGAGCGGCCGGGCCGCCATCCAAGGCCATGGGTGCACACGGGCGAGGCGGGTGGCCTCAGCGAGCAGTGCGGTCTCCCCATGACTCGGGAGCAGGAAGCTGACGGGCGGTCAGGAGGCCCACACTCCTCGCCCAGCCTGCTCGTGACCCCGGGCAGCTCGTGACCCCGGGCAGCTCGTGATCCCGGGCTCAGCACTTAACCGCTCCAGCCTGATTCCCCTTCAGTGACGGGGTCCCTGCCCCCTCTGCCTACGCAACTGTCAGTTTCGCTTATGCGTGGGAATCACTCCGGAAAAGACTGGGAAACAGCAGATGCTCAGTGGACATGCCTCCGGCAGGCGATTCACCTAACTGCCGTTTCCCGTCACTCATGCCTCCAGAGGTCACGGCTCGCAGAGTGAAACGTGTGCTCTCTCACCTGTGGAGACTTCCCAAAAGTACTGACCATTCAAAAACTGCTGAGAACTTCTCACCAGTTTCAGTTCCAGCTTAAAAGCCCCAGACCTCCTAACCACATTATAGGCTAAAAAAGAAAAAACAAGAAACTGCCTGGGGCCCTCAGTCACACACACACACACACACCAATGTTCACCCACGCCCCTCAGGGTGAGACCACAGAGGCCGACCCCACCCCCCACCAATGGCACAACTACAGGGCAGGAACAGATAAAAGGGCCTGCAGGCAGGGCTTGATCCAGCCATGGACGTGTACATGGGTCCCGGAACTGGATCAGCGGAGTTGCTGTTTGACAGCAATGATGGGTGTTGTCGGCAGCACACTCTGCATCTCACTGGGAAGTCGCCTGACACAGCTCAGAAGCTCCAATGCGCAAGGCAAGGCCCCCCTCCAGCTTCTGGAAGGATCCGGGTCACAGAACCAGAGCTGCACACAGCTGGCTCCTCCCCTCGAGGCTTCTCCTCTGTCAGGGAGGGAGCGTGGGCCGTGGAGAGACTCCTGGTCCCGTCTTGGTCAAGGGGGTCTCTCCTTACAGCGGCACCACTGGATCCTCGGCCACTCCCTCCCAGGGTCCCACGAGGCTGCACACCCCCAACGGCTCAGCCACACTCCAAGACACTCTGGGGAGGGGCAGAGCTCACGGAGCCTCAGCTCCAAGGCCTACGATTCTCCAGGAGAAAGCCCCGGCCTCTGCTCAGAGGTCAAAGTGCACGGTCAGGACAGGCAGCTAGCTCCGGGAGCGCTAATAATAAACCCAGGAGCAGCAGCTAGGCTGGGAGGGCGCCAGCCCCGGCTCCCACCCCGCGCACCCTCCTCACCTTCACAGAGACATCGGCCGCAAAGACCAGCAGGCAGAGCGCCTCCAGGCCCTCGGTCAGGCCGCAGGGCGGCTCCCAGGGCGCAGGGCGGTAGCGGACGTCCGCGGTGCTGGTGAGTGAGGAAGGGGTCTCAATAAAAGCCAAAAACAGGATCAAGAAAATAGTGAAGCTCAGAATCCTGGAAAAGGGACAAAAACTGGTTGAAATGCAAGGAGCAGCCACCGTCTGAAGCCCAAAGGTGGATCAGCGGGCAGCAGGGTCCACGGGTCCAAAGGGCGGAGCTGCTCAGCGGTCGCTCGTGTGCGGTCAGATAACATGTGGGTCAAATCTCAAGTGCCACGGCTGATCAGAGGGTTCTGGAAAGGAACCCTCACCACAGAGGAGCCCTTCTGTCCACAGGCTGGGCTCTGTTCCAGTAAGGAGTATAGACAGCGGCTCGCTCTCCACCACAGGAGGGGCACCTGCCAGCACCCCGACACCAGCCCCCCACACCCAGCTGCGGGAGCCCCGGGGCGCACGCGGTGCATTCTCACCACTGGCACAAGCTGGAGTAGTACCACCGGTAGAGCCACAGCGAGCTGGCGTCCATGCGGTGGTTAATGGAGCGGTACTGGAAAGGCCACAGGGGAGCGTGAGGGGGTCCCCTCTGTGCCGCACACGGGGCACCCCTCTCACCCATGGCAGGCTCCAGGCGGAGAGACATGCTGCCGGTCACAGGGTCCGCTCCGACTTGGCACGTGGGTGAGGCCAGACCCTCCCCGCTGCAAGGTCTGCCCGGCAGAGGGAGCGCCCCCAAGGGCCGGCTCCCAGGGCCCCCAGGTGGACAGACACTCTTTTGCTGGACATGCAGCAGTGCCCTCTGTCTGCCCGCGAGGCTGTCCCCTCCTCTGTGTGAGGCCAACCCCTCCCCCTTCCGCTGTGTCACCCTCCAGGGCTCCCTAGCCTCATCTCCCACCCGGGGCGCCACCCACTTCCACGGTCTACTTCCCTAGACAAGCCTGTGTGCCATGTGAGGGAGGGGCAAGGTCCTGCCACCTCGGGCAGCTTCCACAGGCCCGGGGACAGGGAGCACACGCCAGGCCTCAGTAGGCGGTGAGTCAGTGAAATGAGTGACTGGAGTGACCCATCTCCCTGGGGAGGCCTCGAGGGGACCAGGTCCAAAAGCCCGGCCATCACGGTTACAGTGACCACGTAGTCCAGCAACCCCAGCCCTGGCCCAGAACCCATGATCCCCGGAGACAAGCCCAGCCACCCACCAGGAGCAAGTGCCACCCACCTGGATGGCGTCTTCGATGAAGACCACAGCCTGGTCCAAGCACAGATCCCGCCTGGCTGTGCTGCCTGCGGGCAGAGAGGACGCGTGGGGTGAGGCGGGGGTCTCGAGGTGCGCACCTGCTACAGGGCGACTGAGAGAAGGGGAAGAACCCGGCCATGCTCCTTCCAAGACTCTGGAACCGGATGCCTCTTGTCTGCACACGCCCACAGGACAGGACCCCCGCGCAGGCTGTGCCCCCGTGTGGGGCAGGGCCTGAGCAGGTGCACGGGCTCCAGGCCCAGGGGAGAAGCAGCTCCCATGGTCCCGGCACCCCGGGCGGAGAGGCAGAAGGCCCAAAGCAGCGAGCGAGACAGAACCAGACTCGAGAGATTCAGACCCTGGCTCCCCACCTGCTGGCCCAAAGGTTTAAGCTCACTGCCCCATCTCCTCCTGTCAAATGGGGGCCCCACCACTGGCCCCCAGGCCCGGCCCAGCACACAGAGTGTGCTCATGGCCACCCTTCTGCCCTGTCCCACTGCCGCCGGCCTCCGGGTGGCTTTTGTCAGGACGCTGTACCCCAGCCTCCCCGACTGTAAGCTGGGGAAGGGCTATCCGCCTACCCTCCATCAAACAAAAGCAGATTTAACGCTGACACATGAAGTTGATACCCAGAACCTTGAGGTGCTGCATGACCTCAAATACTGAGAACTAAGAACCTTCTGAGGCCATCAACCCCCCGCTCGCTGTCACGGGCCCACAGGGCCAGGCCACCGCAGCCGAGTCACTCTGAGGATGGAAACCAATGGAACCTTCACCAACAAGCAACTTCGGTCCTCAGGGCCAAGGAGGCTGGGATGGGGCCTCCCCGGGCCCGAACAGGCTCCTAGCTACGAGGCACCTTCAGGACAAGTCAGGTGGCTTAACCTCAGCCCAGCACCCCAGCCCCCGCCCGTCAAAAGGCCCCAAGCTGTGCCCCTGGTCGGTCACCTTGGCCTTGGGTTTTCCCCCCTCATCATGGGCACGTGTGCCTCTGCGACTTACTGCAAAAGCCGCTGTGACACAAAGGGACGAGAAAGGCATGAGGAGCCACAACTGGGTGACGGAGGAAGCCTACTGCCTGAGGCCCGGGAGAGGGTGCCACCCAGGCCCCTGGGGGAGCGGAACCGGCACACGGCGCCCAGCAGCTCCCAGATCAGGGCTTGGAAACGAGGTGAACACCCCTGTCACCATTTCCAGTGAAGATTTCTACTTCCTTGAGACCAGCAGCTGCCAAAATCACCCTTAACCAGTAGAGAGAGAGCACAGGGATGCGCAGTGCTCTGCAGCAGAGCTGCCACGGCCAGAGGCGGGAGGCCGGGCACGCGGGCAGAGCTCCAGGCCACTACCCACGCTGCCTGCCGTCCCCAGGGACGCTGCTACCACCATCTGCAGGGCATGGGGACCAGTCAGGGATGTGGGGGCCCTGGACAGAGGTCAGAGACTCTGCCCTGTCTCTGCCACCCCCTTGCTGTGTCACCCAGAACAAGCAGCGTCCCCCACCCGGGCCTCTGCTCCCCGCCACGTGCTAGCCCCACGCTCACCCCGCGGGGCCTAGAGGTTCTCCCAGGGAGGCTGTGAGGGTGGTAGCTGCCTACCTCCCCCAGAAGCACCCCGGGAACTTTGTGATCCAAAGGTCTTCAGTTTTGTTCCTTGCTGTACCCACAGAGCCCAGGAGAGCGTGAGCTCGGTGCACAACAGCCCTCAGAGCCTACCGGTGGAGGGAATGCGTGACCGGCCAAGGGGAGCCTGCAAGAGGCCCCACGCCACCAAACCTGCAGGCAAGAGATGGAACTCAGCCTGGAGAGGCCTAAGGAGACGAGCTTCCTCGAGAAGAACAGACGGGCGGCCAGAGCTCCCTCCAGGACCAGGACTGGGTGTGGCTGAAGGGGGTCACTCCCAGCAACCCAGCCCTCAAGGCATCAACCCTCAGGAAGGCCATCCCACCCAGCTTTGCAGCCAGACACCAGCCTCCCTTTCCCCTCCTGCAGCGACTGGAGGGATGTCGTGGTGAGCCCGCAGGCAGCACATGACAGCTCTATGTGGGTCCCCACCGCTCCAGGAGCAAGTCCACACTCTGCCCTCAGCCCCGCCACACAGACTCACAGCTCTGCCCAGCCACCTCCTCTCCTGCCTCCTCCACCCCATCCCTCCATGCCCCTCATACCGCACTGGGCTCCCCCAAGGTCAAGCTCTCCAAAGCCTCCAAGCCCTACCCAGGAGCACTGTCCCCCAACTGGGCAGTCTAAGGACTCATCACCCCAGGCAGCAGTCACCTTTCCGTATCCCCACCGCCCCGCTGGGCACAGCAGGTTAGAATGTCAGAGCACACAGGATATGGGAACTCAAACACTGTGCCCCACATCCACCCTGCAGCCCCAAGCCTCCCGTCCCCAACATCCCAGTATAAATCCTCGCCCCCTCTGGCTCCAGCCCCTCGGCCCCCACAGTACCTGGTGGGAACCTGACCAGCTCCCTGTGTGACCCTGGGCAAGCCCCTTAACCTCTCTGTGCCTCAGTCCCCGCAGGCTCTACAGAATACGACTGATGTGCAGGCTGAATGGGTTACTGTCACTAAACTGCTATGCACAGTAAGCCCTTCATGGCCATTTGCTATTACTATTCTAAAAGCCCCTCCCGTAGCACAGCAACCCACTGTCCTCTGGTTTCTCTGTAATTCCCTGACCAGGAACCAGAAAACGACCATCCCCACCCTGGGTTCGTGGCCCATGAGGTGGGGCTGACTCAGGACCTGACCACAGGGTCCACTGGGGTCTGCGGGGCACCCAGCAGCAGCCTTCCCCCAGTCTTGTTGGTGGGAGAGTCAGACTGTGGGACTGGCAGACCCTGAGCACAGGGCCCCATCTGGGAGCCCCCCACCACAACTGGGCAGAAATTCAAGGAGGGTCTGCAGAGCCTTGCCAGGCGGCAGAGAGTCCTGTCCACATTCTCAGAAGCCCTCAGCGAGGCACGGTGTCGGGACAAAGAGCCCTCACCAGCCACTGCCTGGCCCTGGCTCCTGTCTCTACAGCGCAGGTCTCATCTGCCCACCGGGCGCTCTGCCAGGGCTGGGACCTGCAATGATCATGGCCCTCAGAACAAAACAGCCACCGGTACCTACGCACACCAGCTCTGCCATCAGGCCAGGGACCCGGATTCTCTCTGAATCCTTCCAACGCCCCCCAGGGCAGTCCCTATGACCACTCCCCTTTTATTGAGATTCAGAAAGGTTAGGCAACCTGCCAAGGTCACACAGCCAGGAATTGGCAGTGCCAGAAAGGTATCCAGACCGCCTGGCACAAAGTTTGCATGCTCTGAACACCACGACCATGGCCTGTGTCCCTTGTCCAGGGCCCTGGGAGGTCTGGCATGGGCTGGATGGAGAACTTTCCGGCAACAGCCTCTGAGGTGAGCAGGTGGGCATGTTTTTTATCTCCCGTCGGCGACCCGCCCCAATATTCCATGGACAGGCACACACTATAGACCCCTCCCCAACAGAGGAGCAAAGTGAGCCCAGAAAGGGAAAGTGGTCCCAGTAGGAGCACCCAGTACAGGTGCCTGTAGCAGATGCAACACACTCCAGGGCCGTGACCTTGGACAGGTCCTGGAGACGCTCTGGGCCTCGGTTTCCACAACAGTAAAATGAGGCCGAGGGCCTTTCATCCCGACCCCAGCACCCAGTCCCCCCCTCCCGCCCCCCCCCCCCCCCCCCCCGACACCGTGTCTGCCAGGGACAGAAGGACTCCACCCTCCGCCTTCCTCAGGATTCAGCACTCTGCCTGTGCATAAACAGGAAGAGCAGGATGGACTGCAGAGGGCAAGGGAGGAAGCTGCTCTGGTCCCAGGAGGCCTGCCCCAAGCCTAAACTGAAGTGGCGCCAGCCTCCGGGAAGCCTCCTGGGCCCAGGAGTGAGTAGGCAGAGCAAAGGATTCCCAGTTCGCTCCCAGCTGGGTTCGAATCCCACCTCCGCCACTTCCTGTGTGATCTTGGGTAAGGGGACGCCCCTCTGTGCCTCAGTTTCCCCCACAGAAACTGGGAAAACGGAAGTGCTGCCTCCTAGGAGTCACTAAGGTGACCCACGGAAAGCAGCAGGTAAGGATCCGCCCCTGCGCTCACCGAGGGGGCCGCCGGGGGCTGGCTGCCTCAGGCTGAGCGAGGCCTCTCAGCCCGGCGGGCCGGGAGCAGGGACGGTCCTGCAGCGTCTGGACGACGCGCCCGGGGCCGGGGTCCGCAGGGCGCAACCGCACGTCCCTCCGTAGGGCAGCTCCCCTCGCGCCCCGCGCCGCCGGCCCCGCTCGGCCCCGCTCGGCCCCCGGCCAGAGGGGCGCGCGCGCAGC